TGCGAGTTCTGTGAATTCTCTGCGAGTGCGGGTGCGAGTGCGAGAGCGTGCGTGCGTGCGTGCGTGTCTTTTGTCTGTCTATCTGTCGTTCTGTAGGGTCCGCGCTTTTTATCGAAGCTCGATTCCAGAACCGTATCCTGTTCGTCCCCGATTTCCGACGTCTAAGATGAATCCTCGGATTCCTCGAATCTCTGGACGGGTTTGTACCTTCAATCTCGATCCGATTCGCGATCTACAATACGTAGTGTGGCACAAAAATTTGGACATTGCTTAACCTAACTTGTAAAAATGCAAATTAAAAATTTGGAAATTACTTCGTCATCATGAGAGAAAGAGATTATTAAAAATTTGGGTAACCTCATAGAAGAGGCTTTGTGAGTTAAGGTGCATTTTGGAAATTGCTTACTCCAGAATTTTTATTTGCACACAAAGCTTCCTCTATGAGAAAGCCATATCCAAGTTTCTAATTTTCCTCCTCTTCGCATACGTGTTTCTGGCTTTTTTGTCCTTCGTAACAAGTTTTTATAAACAAATTATTCTTAACGTGCATCTTATAATTTATCTATAATAAATTTACCATAAATTTGTGTTAAGAAGTTGTAACGTCTGTTATCTCATCGTCAATAATAATTCCATAAATTTCGATGAGTTTATGAAATTGATGAAATCTCACATAAATTCTTATTTAATTTGCACATTAACTCACAAAGCTTCCTTTATGAGGAAGCCAAATTTGAATAGACAACTTGCCACAATGTTGATTCTGCCAAATTTCCAATTTGCACCTTTCTTTTATTTATACGCGAATTTATTGTCTGACAAAACCTCTGCGTAGTCTAAACGTTCTTATTATTGTTTTCTAATACTTTAAATAAATAATATTATATTTATTATTATTTGCCTCGGTGGTCAAGTTGGTTAAGACACTTGTCACGCGGATTGAGGGAAATCCCAAGTTCGAACTCTGTTCGGCGCTGAGGTAATATTTTTCACGAAAAGATTTCTTTACAGTTCGGAGAGGGGGGCCGGGGGGGGGGGTTGTATTAAATGCTAAATATAGCATTTAAAATTGATTAAAACTCGTTCATCGATTTAAATACGTGAATTTGCTGACAACAGTGATTCCATCTAAAATAAAACTGTGTTATATGCGAAAAGAAACCGGCGCGCAGGACAGGTGGAAATACGGTAAATTCATATATTAAATTAATAATTATTGAGCTATATACATCTTGCTCGAACTTAATAGGCGTTCTCGTTTGTTTGATTTATATCACAATGGTCCTGATCTAACTCATTTGTTCATATTCATTAATTGTTTTTGGTTTGCTTCTTTAATGTCACCCGTCTTCCACTTATTGCTTATATAAACTTTTTGTTTAAAATGATGTGTACAATCGTGTTCTTGAAGACCAACCATTCCTCCTGAAACAATCTGCATACTTACGCCTTTAGTTTCGCGGTCGTTGCGTTGTATATTTTAATATAAAAGAATTTTAAAAATGAAGCCGTTTAATTTTTCTATGATTTTCAAAAATAAACTTATAGTATATATGTATCCCCTCCGAATCATTATAAAAATTTTGATGTTGCTCTCTTGACAAAAAAATTGATAGCTCCTAAGCCTAACATTACAAAAGCCTGAACAGCGTCAACAGAAAGAATGCAATGGCTGAACAATTGGGAAACATTAGAGAAAAATAAACGTTAATTTGTGAAATTGTGTAATCTCTTTTACATTTACGAAAACTATAATCATATGAAAGATGGGCGTTATCGAGTTTGGAAAATAATTTAATGGGACTCCCGTTTCTCGAGGCGTTATTTAAGCAAACGCAGTTGTTCTGTTTAAGTATGTCAAACGATATCGTTCTATAATTACTCATCGCAATAATAAACGTACACACACACGTGCACCGTCAATATAAGTTTCTATATTCAGATCGATTAGTCACTAGTTTGGCGTGATGGTTTGTTGGCGCTCGACCAGCACCATGATTTATTTACATGGGAGAAGTTGTAAAATATCAGTTATTTGATCGATAATCGGATTTGCCTTTGACGCGTTTAAAGTCTGAAACGCGCTAAAAGCAAATCCTTGATATTTCCTGTAGCTTCGAAGATTTTGTAAATAAACTTTTACTTTATTCTTACAAGACGGTTTTTTTAATAAGGAAACGCGTCTTATATTTTTTTTATACGCCAAAAGTCGTTCCCTGCAGGCACTATAGGTACCGCGCTTCCGGTTAGCAGCTGCAAATAAATGGTTAGAAGAAGAAAAAACAAAAAAGAGATTCTGTCAAAACTGATTTGAGTTTAATTACTGAAACATTCGCGTATATAAATAGGGTACAAATATATGTGATTGATGTGTATTGATGCGTATGTGTTTCTGAATGTCTACTGCACAGTCCGACTTAATAATATATATATAATATATATATAAATATATACATTTTGTAAATTGTTTTGTATACCATAAGGAGTCACACTGCATTGCTAAATAAATAAGCGTTGATTTAATACAAATCCTAATAAGGACTTGAATAATTCTAGCAAAAACGTAATTTACTACTATTCTTTCTTTTATCAGCCCCTTAAACGTATCCTCTGTGAATTTAAGAAACTTCTCATGAAATTTATTGATTAATGAAGCTATCTTTCTTAATCCTTGTCGTTCCTTTCATTTAAACAAATGATTAATTTCAATTGTGACCCCTTTAGAGCAAGCACCTTAACCGGAAGTCTAAATTTACTCCACTCAATTCGTGCTGTTTATGAAATACATAACGTTTCTCAAAGAGAAAAAATCCACCTGTAATACAAATTGACACGTTGTCGTGTCTTAAATAAGGATGCATGTTTATCATTTATAAATTATTTAATAATTAACTGTAGAGAGAGAAATGAATTGAAAAATTTATAAAGTGAATCCAATACTCAACTTTTACGGGTGTTAATGTGTTTTTCTCGTCTCAATATCTACGCCATAAATTAACAAAACATACCCCTCAAGTGCTTATTTACATATTTATTTTTTAAAGGGAAATAAAGATTTGATTTTCGAAATAGATACTTGCGTGCTCATGAACTATGGCAGTATTTGAAGAAACGAGAAGAGTGTTCAGCCGGATATTTCATAGCGCGTTGACTAATTGAGTGGAGTTGATAAACTGGAGAAAAATATCATTGTCCTTATAGAACTATTCGGCCGCTTATCCCGCCGATAGTACATTGTACCTCGAGTATTTCTTGTTTTAACACTCTGAACACGGCTAAAATTTCGAGGGCCCTCGAGCTTCGAAGACACGCAGAAGACTATCTAACACTTCAGTAACCGAATGCTCGAGTGCTTCTCTTCTCTCATCAGTTCCAGTACCAGTACGAGTTTCACGAGTAGAGGTACTCTCGCTTGTAAGTCTCGAAAGAACTTTAGCGGCATCTCGCAAGCGGTTGGTACCTTAAGACATTGTCTCGCTTGTCGATCACTGTTATTCGGCTGATTCCAATTAATCCGCTATAACATTGATATCCTTATTGGGAATGTAACTCGTGCGCGCGAATGAAGTTAGTCGTCGTTTTTCTTCCTTCCTTGTAAAGTTCTCGCTTCCTGTTTTCGCAAAAAGGCACGAACCGCTTCGAGAAACCGCTGTAAATCCGAGAAAGTATTTTCTCGGCCATTCCCCCTTTTTTTCCTTCCTCCGTCTATGCTTACACGCTTAATCGCTATCTTAATGCTACTTGTATCGTTAAAAACGTTAGTGAAGCGTGAACCTTTAAATACCGCTAGTCTTGATGCGGGTTACAAATCGATCTCCGTTAACTAAAAACCAGAGCTGCATCAATCATTCAGGCAGCGCCGAAAATTTCACTTCGAGCAACGCGAATGATAAATTCGCTGCTCGCTCCTGTTCTCCTTGCAACCCGATCAGAAGTAGCCACTAGAGGACACAGTTAGCTGTTTCTAAGAATATTCTTAAATAAAATCTACTCATTGCATTTTCAAGGTGGTCTTAGTCGCGAGTTAGCCTCGCGAAGTGTGTCGTGTGTGTGTACGTATGCGTGTGTCTGTATGTATGTGTGCGGAAGAGTCGGTCGCCAACTTTTCAACAAACACCTTCAAAAGTCCGACATGCGCAAACCATCCTTCAAATTTCAATCACAGTCACGCTGATGTAGCATTGTGTCTTCCTCATGCGTAAAGATAAATCGCGTCAGCAAAATTCAGTCGCGATTGCTATTTCAGCAGCACTTCGGCAGCACATTTCGGCGGCCAGAAATAAGCAGCTCGCTAAGTACGCGCATCCACGTGCAAAGTGGCCGTGTACATTAGAGCCTGGCAGCCATCTAATATGTTTAGCGTTTAACGAAAGTGTAATATTGCACTGTTATCATTTACGAATTTTGTTATATAATCCGCGATCGTCTTAAAATACGTCACCTTCGTAAAAATTACGACATTCATGAGCTGCTCCTCGCTAAATATTACTTCAGACGCTTCAGAGAGGAGTCGAGTCATCCTCTTCGTTCGAGGCCTCGAGTTCGCGTAGGTGTTCGCATTTCGGTATATGGTACAGGAGATCCGTGTACTCTCCGTTAATAAAGTAATTTCTCGTGTTGGTGTAAATTTATTTTCGCGCGTTCGATTGGCGGCTTTTCAATAATTCCTTCAAAGATGTCGGTCTATATTAATGACCGTTAGTGTTATCGATTATATCTGTATTCACTCGGATATTACCAATCTCAAGTCCTATGATCAATGATACCTTGCACGGAATACTAAATACATTAAGGGCATTTCAGATGCGCGTCGCGATAACGTAATCTCTCTTGAATAGCGATCTTTTATCTTTCATCTTATTACGCGTGCGCTTTATCCGCAGCAAATATAATGAAAATGAGCATACAATAGAAATGAGAGGACGAAATGTGAATCCTTTGATAACTTACTTACGATATGAGTATGCGTGTGTGTACGTGTGAATGTATGTGTCAACTCTCGCGCTGTTCGTTTTTTTTCCATTTACTCTTGCGAATGCGCTGTGCGAACGAATCCTTCTTGTTCCTTAAGGCATCATTTTGCGAGGTGTCAGCCATTTCTTCATGTAGTAACAGAAGATTGTAGAGATATAGATGAGCACCAAAAGAGCACACGTCACCCCGAGCGCCAGCACCGAGGTTTTCGTCGGACACGGCTCTACGATGGTCACCGTTTTGTCTGTGGAGATAAAATGCCGCGAGTTAATAAGCAGTTACGAGCGCTTCTGCCAGAGCGTCTTAGACGCGAGCGTTTTAGACTCTCACCCGCTTCGTTGAAGTCTATGCTGGAGTCACTCTTCAGGAAGTCGGACTGCTTCTCATCGCCAAAGTCGAGCACCAAGATCTCTTGAGACAGCGTCATGTCTTCGCCTTTTTCCTCCGTCGAGTTCGCGATGCTTCTTCTACGTCTCTTCCCCCACGATTCCACGGATTCGCGTCCCCACTCGCAAACGGCCTGAGATACGACAAATTGTTTGAGGTTTTCCTTTTCTACATTCGGACAAATGAGTAAACTAATTGATTACCGGTTCGCAAGGTCCCAGACAGTACTTGACGTTACACTGGAAGATCACGCCGTAAGATTCGGTGAACCTGAAGGCCTCGTATACAGATTGCAGAGCGTTACCATCGGGAGTGAAGCTGGGGAAGATGGAAGGATCGACGGGACACCTGAAAATTGCAACATTTAACTCTGTTAAAAGTCTGTTAAAAGTCTTTCATTTTTTCGTCGGGCATAATTGAGAAACAAGAACATTACATATTTTCATTATTACAGTTAACTTTGCGTTCTAACTTAAGACGTAATTTATTTCCTTCTTTTTACGATGTTAACATGCCGAAGAAGATACTGTAGTGTCGAAACGCGTCCAATCTTTGTATCAATTTTGCATTTAATCGAAATCGATAATATGATGAAAAAATTTTAATTATCATATCTTACCCGTTTTGCTCGCCAATTACATGAGCCGCGATACCGAATAATTGTTATAATCGAGAAACGTTGAACGAAATAAAATTGACCTACCCTTCGTCGTCGATAATTTGAAACGTGCTTTTCGAGTCCTTCGCCATGGCTACGCAACTGCGAGCGAATATGCCGTAAGGAGCTGCCATACGAAAATGTTAATATTAATTGCCGTGAATCGTCGTCGCGAATCGGTCGTAATCCAGTGAGCACCGAGCATCAGTTACACCGCAGTTACACATGTGTTATATTACATTTACATTGTTGAGTGAGAAATTCTAACATGAATGCAATGTAACCGATGCTCGGTGTTTACTGAGAACGCCATCGAGATAATCTCTCCTTTAAGGGAAAAGAATGAATTCGCTGGAAGCGGACTTACTGTCTTCCGGGATTTCGATTCTAAACGTCAATTTGTCACCAATGCGTACAGTTTCAACCTCTCGCGACCGGCTGTCGAGGATGCGAATCCTCGGTGGAGGCGCTTCCGGCGCACTAGTGATACTAATCATTTCCGGGTCTCTGATCGGCATCATGCCGAATGTAATATTCTTCGAGGACATGTCGTATGTACATTTGACTTTGTAGATTTTGTCGGCCTTTGTCATTACCACAGAGTGATGTTGCAGTACAACCGTGTTCGAATATATTCCAGTCTGAAAACCGTCACGCTGCCATGGTGAAAAGAAAGTACAAACAGAGATTATGTTCTCAAGGACAGGAGGGGGGGTGTGCATTTATTGTTTGAAATTCTTCATAAAAAGTATATCGATGTGGACAAAACGTTTTTTTTTTTCAAGTTGCGTGATATACAACTGTGCAGTGAGAAGCGTTAGTCAATAATCGAACAAATGTGACAAGATCGAAAAGAAGGCTGGAAGTGTGATAAAGTGTTTGGAGCTCGGTAGTGCAAATTGCTTAATGTAATTACTTCTAAACATGCATATTTCGAAGGCACTAACGAACAATATAAAAGCTGTAACTTTTGATATGTACAAAAAAATGCAAGTAAAATAATATGAAATAACAGTAGCTAGAAAAAAAACTTCGAAAAATACAATTATAATAGTTTTCAACGTTATCACATCATCTTGTGTGTCACTTACCACGCTCTGAGTGTTACAATCCTGTCCGCTCATCGTGAGATCGAGTCTGAAGAGATCGCTATTAATAACATCAATATTGCAAGTCTCCGATCGTCCGAGAGCGTAAATACGTCCATTGAAAGGTTTATTTGTACGAACTTGGACGGCGATACGAGTGTCTTTGCAGTCAACCGACACTGTAATATTAACCGTTATGATAAACTGTGCCTTTGTCACGGCGTTATGGTATTATCAAGATATTAATTCAGTACCATCGTAGCAAGTTCCCGTCTTGTCGCAATTAATGTCGTTTCGGGTGAGATTGTTTATCGTAGAATCCTCCGTGGTCTCGAAAACGACCGGCAACGGGTCCGATATTGGCCCGGTACCCTCTAAAATAACAGCATGTATTTTTTTATCGATGTATTAATCGCACGCACGCGCGATTAATACATCGCGCATATACATATGTACAGGGTGTTATGTATTGTAATACCCGCCTCATCTCTTATTTGCGGATATAGTCAATGAGTTATTAATTATTAAAGATCGTTGTCTTAGCCCGGCCTACCGCCCAATTCAAGCGCGCGGCTAGATGCGGCCGTCCCGCGATCGGTGTTGCTAGGCGCGCGGGGAGTCTCATCATTTCAATAATTGCAAAATGGTACAGGGCTTTTCAACTCAGTCTAATCCGCTCTATCCGTAAATAAGAGGTGAGGCGAGTATTACATAACGCCCTGTATAGACTCTTTCAACCGGCGACCCTTACTTTCGCAGAAATTCTCAAAGTAGGTGCCGACTCGTTCCCCATTGTCGATCAGGGGCCTTTCCGCGTTGAGATAGGTCGAAGGTCCATCCGGCAGAGTCCAGTGGTCCAAGTGAAAGAGTTGACAGTTATAAGCCGAACCCTGTGGCGCGCCGCGATAGAGGAAGGATCTGCAGAGAAACTCATTCTCGATTTCGCAGGCCAATCTACAAGCGGACTCGCTTTGAACCTGCAGCTCCTTATCTGTGTAATAGTGCAGGCCCGCGTACTGCGCGACCTTGTCGTCCGCCACGCCGATCCTGGGCATCTGGAAGATCCTCTGAGCCTTGCAAGCCTCCTTTCCTGTCAGCGCCCGATTAATACACAATGCTGATTTGCTTTCTTTTCGAGAGAATGTATAGGTTTATTTTTCCACAACGCTCTCCTCAAGACCGTTTACCTTTCAAGCATAAATTTTCGAAGTAATCCACTCCCTGCGCGTCCACGAATTGAACGTATTGACCTGTCGTTCGACGATCCGAGTCGCTCAGATGACACTGCAGCGTCACGTAATTATACTCCACGGAACGACAGGTGAAACGGTGCTCGTTTAAGCAGGCCGCGAGACAGGCTTCCTTCGTGGACGTGTAAATTAATGCGTTGTCCAACCCGCGAATCATCTTGTTTGGAATGCGCTCGAAGGCCCACGGTCGCAGACAAACGTTCTCTAAAATAATGTATGTATCTATAGAGATCATTTTACTTCTCTCTTGCATTGTGCATTCTCGTGACGTTCGTGATATAATCTGCGCCGTCAGGCCGTAGATCTTATAAACGCGCTTGTACGTTCATACGTAGCTTTACGAACGTTCCCATTGATATATAATATAATTTGCAGTGATATATAACTCAAGCTAAAACTACCGTTTCCTTCGCAGAAGATCAAAACTAAGGGAGAAACTAAATCCGAAATCTCCGAACGAAAGCCGGGAAAATCGCGATCCTAACCCGAGCAAATTTATAATGTATTAATAATATAAGTAGTTTGTTAAAAGGAAATGAAGCTCGTTTAATGCAACGCAAATTAAGGAGAAGGGCCACGAGGACTGTAAGTTGTGAATATTATTTTCCTCCGTATTCTATAATTAATATGGATAATTGAATAAACGTTTTAACTTTAATAAGCCTTCCTCAAGTACAATTTTATATTGCTAAAGAAATTTTAAGTTATGTTAAAAATTCAATCGTCACAATTTCAATTAATTCGGTCCAGCGGTTTTTGAGATCACAGCGAACAAAGAAAAAGGCCACAAACTCTGTCATGGAGTGTCATATTAATAAAACTCATTTCTTAGTGAATTATATAATGTTTTATAAATAAAAATGACTCTTTCCACAGATAATATGCAAATTCGTGAAATAAACATTTGTTTAGGATTAATATAGCATTAATATATATACAAAAAATATATTGCCATAAAATAAATGGAAAAAAGCCGGTCTCGAACTCGAGACCTCCAGCATTCTAGTCGCTCGACTTACTAGCCCGACCATGTGTCTAAATTAAAAAACGTGTTATCGACTCGGTAGATTACACACGTGGCTCATTTAAAAATAATTTAATTTCTAAACTAATGTCCATTGGCAAGAGTTACTGCACCGTTTATTATTGGGGAGGATGTAGAACAACATATTTAAAATTTAGCCAAATCCCAGCATACGGACCTTATTTGCATTGTAACTTGAAAAGGACCTAAAGTAAAGGTCGAAACGTCGTAACGAATTCAATAAAATTTGCCAGTTGGGTTGATAATGAGCTCACTTTTTAAATAAAAGAGAACGTTTTTACGATTTGCTCTTTAGCTTATTGCTTCCTCCTTTGAAACGATAAAATGCTTATCGAGGCTCGCGAAGTATGACGTAATGAGAGACGGGGACTATCAAGCCCAGCGCCGAGGATTCTGCGCTGAGAGATCATAAGACGCTGGCATGTGACTTGGCATGTCCGATGTCGACGATGACGCACGTAGCCTACGTTCTTTGGCACACGAACCTCCGGAATGTATTTCGGCCGAGCCTGTGTGGCGTTCCAATTCTTTTGTTCCGCCCTCAAAACCGGCGCTAAAGTTTGCCGCTGATGGCGGAAGCGATGCCAACGAACCGCTTGACTACTTTACTGGTGAATCACCGGCCGTTCAAATTTCTAGCCGCGGCCTCTGACAAATCGCTCGTCCCGAACAAAATGTCGCCAGGCTAATGAGGCAACGATTATTTTATCAATCAGTTACGTGACATATTTGCTAACATTCTACACGATATACTCTCTGAAAGTCCATCAGTGCATTATCACAGAGAACAGTGAGTAGTCACTGATTTTTAGTTAGAAGCATATCATTGCGATTTTCATGCTGTGATAATCCACCGATTGACTTTTAGAGATTATTTAGAGAGTAATTTAATACTATTTTGACACTTTTAAGGATAATTTACGCCTACTTAGCTGATCTATACACCTACATAGAGCAGCAATAACCATCATATTTTTTTACTCCTCCCTTCAATCTTTAATTCTAAAAATTTACTTTAGTTCCCACTTCAAAGGACCTACTTTAATGCTGAATTGGCAAAAGTAGAAATTTCCGACACTATTAGTTTTAAAGTAGAAGTAAATTTAGTACTTGCAGTTCGACCTCTTTTACTGTCTTAGGTCCTACTATATGTATAATAGATTTAAAAGTTCAACATAGGGCCAATAGTTTGACTCGGGTATTATCTGATTTGATGAATCAATGTGAATAAATAATAAGAGTTATTTGGACTAGGAAAAATCAGGGTACTTTGACCTCACAGAAAAGGCTGTTTTCTTTCATAATAGCTAACGTATACGTTTTCGTAGTCATTCTAAAAAATAATCGGTATTTAGCGTAGTTTATATGCATACGCCACTCGAAATAATGATATTTCGAATATTATACCATGTTTTGACAGCAAAATTACAGTTAAGCTTGTAACGAAGATCAATCGTAATGTAATCTACAATTATTATTTCCGTTTTCACTATTCTTGCGTAATTTGCATTGAACATTACACGTTAGATTCAGGAAGACGCTTAGCGTCAATATCGTGTCTATAATGAATATATGGGACGTGCTATTACGCTCGCGGTTAGCGTACAAACCGTTTATGTAAAATTCTGCACAGTTTGTAACCAACCGGTTTGCAACGATCAGTGGAACAAAAGCCCGTTCTTTCTCGAAATTTTCATTCGTCCTCCTCGGAGCAGCAGCGAGCGGTTTTATGACGAACAACTAAGTGCCTCGCGACGCGGAACAACTCGCCAAGAAAATCGCCCCACTCGTTAAATAGACAACACGCAATTTCTTGAAGCGCAAGAAATTTTCCTCCGGAAATTCCCGCTCAGGCCCGCTATTTTAACACGCGGAAGACCCTCGTGTGTTGAAGTGCTGAATAAAATCTGGCGTCGCCGATATTTCAGGTACTGAGGAATTTCACGAAAATGTTGCTCATTAAAAATATGCAACTGCATAGCAAAATTTTGCACAGAAACTGTACTGCGATAGATTAATTGAAACAAGTAAGCCATTTCTTTTACTGTAGAGATCAATGTCTCCGTACATACATGGCTTAACAACTTTTTTCAGAAGAAATGATTGGAAATTAATTTCTTTTGGCTCGTTGAACCTTCAATTCAATTAAACTTTGTATGGACGTCCATGAATCGTACACGAAGAGAATTTTCTTTTAAAATTTATCCTGAAAATTATGTAATCGTGGGACAACGCGGCATTTCGAAGAATTTTATGAGCTTTTTGACATTTTAACATATATTTCACTACTAATTATATTTAGTATATATTTTATTATAATAAAATGTATGTTAAATTTTATAGAAACTCGCATAAAGTTGTTTAAAATGCCACGTTGTCTCATGATCGCATGATTTTCAGGACAAATGTTAAGATAAACTTCTCTCCGTGCAAAAAGAGCATATTTTCTTAAAATCTGTCCGTATCTCAATTTGATGAAACGTCTTCGCAAAACGAGCCGCGGCATCTAGAGACACTAAACAGGCTTAAGTTATATATTAGAAGCAGTTTCGAATGGAAAGAAATTTAAGAATTGAGCTCATCCCGTAGGCAGCCCAGTTTTGTAAAGACCTGTCTGTTTAAATGAATTCGACATGGCACGGCACTTTTATTTCTATAAGCGCCCTACGGACGGATTTTCTTTTTTCCAAAGGAAACATTCTGAAATGCTATTTTGCACGAATATAGGGTCGAGACACGTGTAAGGGTCTGACTATCTAAACCCACTACCTGACTATCTAAAACCATTTTATGCATTTCCGGACAGGAAAGATTGCCAACATGAAAGTATCAGCGTTTAGCTTAAATCTGATTCTATAATATTTACTGTGATAACTATTGATAGTTATAACTAATAATTGTTGTAATATTATGTTTTAGAGTAAAATTTATATTAAAACGTATTACTTCCTACAAAAATATTCTTTGATCACTAATATACGTATATTAAGTACACACTAATCAAGAAAAAATGGGGGAACATAGTATGTTATATTATTTGCTCTCTTACTCTGAAAACGTCAGTAGATCATTTTTAGTTATTATAAAGAATAAAAAAATTTTACGATTTGATTGATTTTCACTGTGTTGAATATATTGCGAATAATATATTGCGAAGACATGTTTATTGCATTTTCAAGCAACTCGATTCTTACACAGAGAGAATTTTCTTTTAAAATTTCTCCTGAAAATCGTAAGACAATATGGCATTTCGAGGAAGTTTATGAGAGTCTTTTGGAATTTTATAACACATTTTACTAGTAAATTGTATGATAAAATTTTCAAAATTCTCACACAGTTCTTCGAAATGCCATATTGTCCCGATTATGATTTCCAGGATGAATTTTAGGAGAAAATCCATTCCGCATACTTCGTCGAACTTCTTACTCGCCGCACTTGACAGTCGGTATTGTTTGTCGGGACCCTTTCCATTCGTTTGACAGAATTTTGCCGGTTAGCATTCGCTTTGTGTACGCCGCCTGGCTGCCTGCTTCGAGTTTAAACTTTATCGTATGTCACGGTCTATCCTTCGTATTATTTTACCGCACACAAAGACATCGTGGCAATCTCTTCCATCGTAAAAGTCCGTCTTGCATAAATTATTTTTTCTCATCTGTCATTTTTCCTCCTCCGTTTACCACGCTTTCATTCGCCGCTTCCTGGCATTAGTAAACGGCAGGGCGTTTCTTATTCCAAAACACGTTCAAGATCTCTAGTCGAAATTTTAGTACTATTTTGATACTTTTAAGGATAATTTACACTTACTTAGCTGATCTATACACCTATATAGACCAGCAATAACTTACTTTGATGACGTTATATTTGTTTACTCCTCCCTTGAATCTTTAATTCTAACAATTTACTAAAGACCTACTTTAGTGCTAAATTGACAAAAGTATAAATTTCCGACACTATCAGTTAAGTAGTAGTAAACTTTGTACTTGCAGTTCGACCTCTTTTACTGTCTTAAGGCCAATGTCCACGATGTTAGAACTTGG